TGTAATGTTATATTTATATAGAAGTAATTACATGGACATATAACAGACTGTAATGTTATATTTATATAGAAGTAATTACGTGCACATACGGTAGGCGGTAATTTTATATTTATATAGAAGTAGTTACATTGACATACAACAAACAGTGATGCTGTATTTATATAGAACTAGTTACACGGACATACGACAGGCAATAATTTTATATTTATATAGAAATAGTTACATGGACATACAACAAACAGTAATATTATATTTATATAGAAGTAGTTACACGGACATACGACAGGCGGTAATGTTATATTTATATAGAAGTAATTACATGGACATACAACAGACAGTACTGTTATATTTATATAGAAGTAGTTACATGGACATACTACAGACAGTAATGTTATATTTATATAGAAGTAGTTACATGGACATACTACAGACAGTAATGTTATATTTATATAGAAATAGTTACATGGACATACAACAAACAGTAATGTTATATTTATATAGAACTAGTTACGAGCACATACTACAGACAGTAATGTTATATTTATATAGAAGTAGTTACATGCACATACTACAGACAGTAATGTTATATTTACGTACAAATAGTTACATGCACATACTACAGACAGTGCTATTATATTTATATAAATAAACCTATTTTCGTTTTTAATAATGACAGTTCCACGTGAGATAGTATTGAGGAGATCTGTTTGATTTATTAGTTTGAGGCTTTGCTGACTGAAAAGATGTAAAGTTATATACTAAGAATCCTCACCTATAAGAATTATCCTAGCAACGTTATTGCTCCTCCTTATTTCATCAGTCAGAATATTCTTCGTTTTACATCTATACGTCTTTCTGGCGTCTTCTGGAGACACCTGGTGGATGTGTAAGTCGCCGTTGGTATAAACTATGTATTTTTCTCCTGCTGAGTAATAAGATAAATATCTTTATCATCAACATGAAAGATCCAGAAGAAAAGCTGTTGACATAATTTACAGAGAACAGAGGATTAACAACTGAGTTTGAAACAACAACAAACAAACAAAAAAAAATCATGTCATTTTAACCTAGGAAGATACAAACTGTTGGCTTAAAACTTCTACTTAAAAACTGTTGCTATTAAAAGTTTTCCGATGAAGTTCATTCAGTATTTAAAAGTATTGATTGATTAATTAGTGCTCTGGAGTTACGCCGTCATTACATGCTGTTCGAGGTTCGAACCGCGATATGCTACTGAAAAAAGATTCCTTTCACACTTTTAGCTATGGGGACATTATAATAGCTACAATTTCGTTAAAAGTAGCTGTGTAGGTGGCGAGTGGTACTAACTGGTTGTTCTCCCTTTAACCCTTAGGGTTTCTGACCTGGCCGTTTAACCCATGTGTCACACAAGGTAGCGTATATCAATAATATCAAATTCACTCTGGTTCAAAAGAGGTTCTAAGTTTACGAACTTCAGGATCTTGAGTGTCACTGCATTTGGGAGGTATACTCTAGTGTGAAAGACGTAAATTTAAATTAATCTAACTATACGTCACATAAATGGGGTTATAAGCAGTTAAAGACAACTTGTATCATAAAAAATTGCCAAGATCCCAACAATAGTATTAGATAAGAAATTGCCAAGATCCCAACAACAGTATTAGATAAGAAATTGCCAAGATCCCAACAACAGTATTAGATTAGAAATTTTCAAGGTCCCAACAATAGTATTAGATAAGAAATTTTCAAGGTCCCAACAACAGTATCAGATAAGAAATTTTCAAGGTCCTAACAACAGTATTAGATAAGAAATTTTCAAGGTCCAAACAACAGTATTAGATAAGAAATTTTCAAGGTCCCAACAACAGTATCAGATAAGAAATTTTCAAGGGC